AATATGGTAATGATTCATTTTTTTATTTTATTCGTTCTAAATTAGGAGATACAACGTCAAAATCAAGAAATTTGAATAGGAATTATGCATATATCCAATTTTATCATTTTGGCTTATGATAAGGCGGTTGTGTGCCAAATAATAACACAACCAATGGTTGGTACAAATTTCGTGCCATAGAATTAAAAAAGAATTTTCCAATTGAAGATCTTTTATCAAAAAGAAAATGATCTGCGTTACACGAATTTGAAAAATCCCAGGATTAGCAGGAGTAAGATTTCATTGCTATCTGAGGTTGAAAAATAGGGTAGAGACCCTTAATAGAATGTGCGTATTCTAAGTTGTGGTACAAGTGTATAGGCATGCCTATATAAATTGTCGGTGAATCTGAATTTAAAATAATTCTGATTATGATTAAAAAATTATTCAATATGTCAGATAGGCTTTTACCTAGACAAAATAATGGGGAAACCAATATTGATTGGATTAGCAGAATGATTAAAGAGAAACGTATCAATTTTATTGATAATGGAGAGTTTGAAAAGCCGGTGTTTGTAAAACTCGGGGGTTCCGGAGTCATAAGAAAAACCCTGTGGAAAACAAAAAATAAGGACATCATCTTAAAAGAAATTGTGCCCGAAGAAGTCATAACAGAGCCGGAACTTCAAGAGCTTATTAAGGAAGTAAGATCGATTTGTAAACTCCTTTATAACGCTTTTGATTCATAAATTAAAATTTTGATTATCTTATTAAATAGATCAAAGCTTTTGATTCCATTAGAGTTGGAGAACAATCGGATATAAATAAAATAGGTTACCCAAATGTCATCGAATGTTTTGGTGTATCGCGTTTTAATGAACAAGAACCATTTTTGCTCGTATTAGAACACGCAGATATTGGTTGCTTACGAGACTATTTGAATAATCACCATGATAATTTGAAGTGGGGACAAAAAATTAATATTGCACGTCAGATCACATGTGGACTGCACTTTCTACATAAAAATGGAATTTTACACCGTGACTTAGTAAGTTCGTTTCTTGTTGATCGAAATTAATGGTTACTATATTAATGATTATAACGAAAAATCTATATCATATTTATTAGAATACCCAAAATATAGTTATTAAAAGAGATGAAACCTTCGAAGATGGCATTAGAGTAATTATCATTGATTTCGGACTCTCGAAAGTTGTTCCTCGCAAAAGTATATCGCATCAGAGAATAAAAGGCCATGCAAATTTTGTGGATCCCGTTATCTTAGAAGCATCAGATTCGCAATTTGGAGAGATATATCGTTATCAATCTGATATATATAGTCTTGGTGTAACATTTTGGGAAATTTCAAGTAATGGTCAACAAACAAAAAAAAATATTCCCCCGGACATTATAATATTGAATAGAATAAAAGGAGAACGGGAAAGACCAGTAGCCGGATCTACTCGCCCTTTCGTCGAACTTTATCAGAAATGTTGGGATCATAATCCTCAAAATCGTCCTGACATTTATCAAGTTCATGAATCGATTTATAGAGATGATATTATATCGGGCGAAAGTTGGGAACCGGAATCAGATGAGCAAGAA